TCCAGTCTGACCAATGTTGAAATTTGGAATTGTGAAGCCATAACATCCTTACATGACGGGTTGAAGCACAACAATCCACGTATTGAGTGTAAAACCCCATTCCTGATTTTAGTTAGATCATGAATTGTATTTAAGTAATTAATTCTTTTTTTTATTTGATTTTTTTTTTTGGTATTGTGGTAAGATAGGGGTATTTCTGTCAGTTTTTAAAGCTGTGTTAAGGGGGTGAAATCGAAGAAATAAATCCTGATGGGTTTGCATGTATCAAGAGTGAAAAATTTGGACATTTTTGCTAGGGAAAGCTTATGTGGCTGGGTTAAACTGAAATTTAGAGGAATTGGGGGGCAGAAAAAATTTTAGAAAAGTGTTTGTTTAAAAGGAGAAGGGAACTGGGCAGTTCGCCCAAAGGAAGAAGAAGAAAACGAGAGGAGAAGAAAGAAAGAAGAGAGGAGAGAAAGGAGAAAGAAAAGAAAAGAAAAGAAAAAAAAAGGGAGAGAAGAGAAGAAAGAGTGGTTTGGCCGAGAGATAGAGTGAGAGAAGAAGAGAAGAACAAAGAGAAAGGGAGAGTTTATTAGTTTTAAGTCTGTGAACAGTGCATCATCAAATCGTGATCTGGAGCTCATTCGCCGTCCGATCGTGCTGATTTTCGGATATGTTGTTCATGAAACACAGCTCTACATTCTGAACGGTGGAGATCGAAATCTAAGCACTGTAATAGGCAGCCAATTATAGGATAGAAGAGTGAGTGGCAAAAAAATCAAACCCTTTTCTCCATATTTCAAGCGTGCATGTGTGATTTGTTGAGTTTTGTTTCTAAGATATGAAAGATTTTACATGCATGGAGATACATTGCATCCAAATGCTTGAATTCATGTCTGCATGTGTAAGTTGTGTTTTCCATATTAATGTTTTGATGATGTTTGAGCTAAATGTGAAGACTGCTTAAATTGTTTTCTTTTACATGTTTTTGGACGAATTTTTGAAGTGCCTGATTGAGTTTTTAAGTGGGATGCATTTGCTTGTTAATTGTAACCACGTGCACTCGGCTGGATACATATTAGGATGATGGTTGACTTGTGTTTTTGATGAAATTATTGCTGGGTATTAAACTGCATACTTGACTGGACAGCATGTTAAAGAAAAGACTGAGATTGGTGATGTTGGTAAATAATTTTCTCGGTAAAAAGGGCAAATGGGGTGCTTTTCGTCAGTTTTGAAAGTATGCTTTAAAAACCTGCATTTTTCCCCCCCTATTTTCCATGAAATCTCACATGTTGGCATGTCTTATCCTTATAGGAAATATTCATATATTATTATTATTATTTTGCTCTTGGGTTTAATTATAATTATAATGTGTTATATGAGTTTTGACTTTTAAAAGTTTATGTTTGCTTATGATTTGTATCGGACATATGCTAAGATCATGTGATGTTGAATTAATTTTCAATCTGAGTTAAACCGTTAGTTTCTAAAACATATTTAGAAAATTGCAGTTTCACCCCTATATGTGACTTTTGAATATTATGTCATATATGTATGATTTATAAGTACATATGAAATATGCTATTGACTTACATGTTACATGAGATTATGCATGAGTATGTTGTGGTGCAAAAACCACCCTACGAAGTACCCATCCCCCAGAGATACAGATTTTTGGCTCTGCCCGAGCGATGCAGGATTCCGCTGGGTATGACAGTTTCAGATTTTGGCTCTGCGCATGCGTATGACAGATTTTATTGGCTCTGCCTGGGCGTTGAGTGGTCCGCCAGGTATGACAGTTTTTGAGGCTCTGCCCGCGCGATGATAGACCTTGCCGGGTATGACAGGTACGTCCCTCGCTCTGCCTGCGTGTGGGACGCCCACCAGGTATGACAGATTTCCCCCAGGGTACTAGTTGTGGTGAGAGTTTTAATAATAAATGTTGAGGTTTTATACAGAATCCGATACAGTTAAAGGAAGTAAGTCAGAGTACAGTTTACTGAGTGCAGGATGATTAGAAATAAATTGTATATTGTATGCGAGAACGGGGTGGTTGTTCTATTGCATATTCATAAAGTTACATTGTTGCCATGATTTGCTTGAAAATTGTTGTATGTTAGCATTTTTTTTTTTTTAAGAACTTTTATAAACCTCCCCCTTTTTCCCCACTCACTGAGTATTTTTAGCTCACCCCTTTTTAAATGTTTTTCCCCCCACCAGGACCTTCCGGAGATCGTGCCGAGCAGTGAGCCTCCGCTCAGGGTTGTGCCACGCGTTGACATCTTTTATGTGGGTCTTATATTTATGTCGCATTGTAAATCTGGACTTTCGTTTCAAGAACTCATGTTTTCCATGATGTATTTCCTTTTGTTTCATATTTTGGAATGTGTAGTATAAGTGGAAAACCTGATACCAAAAGTTTCCCTAACTATTTTCTTTTGTAAAACGAAAGATGATGCATGTCTTTTTGAGATGTTTGGAGATGAAAATACTATGATGTTATTCAGGAAAAGTATGTCTTTAAACAGGTTTCGCAGTTTTTCTACATGGCACGTCTCGGGTATCCGAGTCTTGTGGGAGCGCCCGGATCCTACAGGATGAGGAAATTCGGGACGGGTTGTGTCATTGAGCACTTGGAAGTTTCTAGTTGTCCTTCTCTAATGTTCATTGTGAGGGGCCGACTACCTTCATCGCTAAAAACCCTTAAGGTAATGGAATGTGATAGATTGGGGTATATTTGGGATGATGGAGAGGACACTGGTACTTCTTCTCCATCTTCTTCTTATGCATTGATGCACAAGGAAGATGCGGACAGCACCACCACATCTCTTCTCTGCAAATTGGAAATATCAGAATGCCCTTCTCTCACGCACTTATCATCAACACACCACTTACCTTCAACACTCACAAGTCTTCGGATTGCCGATTGTTCAAATCTCAGGACGATAATAGCGGGAGGACAGTTACCCAAGGCACTTAAAAGTTTTTCAATTGAAGGTTGCCAACAGATAAAGTTAGAAGTGGAGAGTTTTGATAATAACACGTCTCTTGATCATGTTTGGATCAGCGGGTGTGAAAATCTTAAATCAGTTCCTGAGGGCCTACACACTTTACAGAGTCTTAGTTGTATTAGAAGAGAAAATTGCCCAAATCTTGTCTGTTTCCCAAAAGATGGGCTTGCTAACACTGAGAAACTACAAGCCCTACCTAGTCATATGCACACCCTCAAGTCTCCTCAATACCTAGCCCAATGCAATAATCCAAAAATGGCCTTCTTTCGGAACTAGATATTCCCACCAATCTAACATCACTTTTCGTTGATAATCCCAAAATCTACAACTCTGTTGCTGAGTGCAGCTGCCATGAACTCATCTCCCTTCGAAAACTTAGGATTGTTGGATCCCCAGAGGCAGTGTCTTTTCCAGAGGAGGAGAAGGAAATGTAAGTTGCCAGCCTCTCTAATTTATCTAAAATTAGAAAAATTCCCAAAATTGAAAAACCTACTTTCCAAGGGTTTCCAGAATCTCACCTCTCTTGGAACCTTGGGTATCATTAATTGCCCAAATCTCACATCCTTGCCACACCTTCCATCCTCGCTTCTGCGGCTACATATTTTTCATTATCCATTGCTGGAGCAACGGTGCGAAAGTGGTGAAGGACAAGACTGGTCCAAGATAGCTAACATCCCTCACGTTGGGTACATCTGGTTCATCCAGATCCAGGAGGAACAATGATGTCCATTTGAGATCAGAACAGTGGAAAAGGCCGAATCAGTTCACACTTAGGGGCTATTTAGGTCTTTCAATTTCTAGAACCCACACCGTTAACTTTTATCAAGACAAATTAGATATTTATTAAACAGACTCAATAATTACGTGCTTCTGCAGGAAGGAACTTGAAAGTATCAACTCGAATGCATATGCCAGCATGGCAATGGCAGCGATAAGCTCTACCATATGGTTTGTCGCAATATAACAAAAGTCATGTAATTAGTAGAATTTGTTGTTTATATTGCAATTTAAAGTGATTTGAGCGTGCCCACCATATAATCCTTCCCTAAACTTGGAATCGTAAAGGTTGATTGGACAGTTTTTACTATTTTCAGCTCTCTGAAAACCAAAGCTGATACAGAGTTCACCGCATTGCACGAATAATGTAAGTTTACTTTTCGATTGTGTTTTATTCCCTGTTAGTGATATTTCAGGCCTACATGTTGATCGTTAAAATTATGTCGTATCTTGGAATATGATTGCTCTTGCATCATTTTGAAAATAGTCCTCCCCATTTGACATTTATTTTTCTTATATTTTGTAAGGGTATTTTTTTTTCAGAGGAAGCAAGTGGACTATTTGATACTCGGTTCCTAAAGTTAACTGTTTCTTTGCCTCATGCATTCTTCTAACCATTGTGGGTAAAATGTAAGAAAAAGAAATGTGGACTGAGTCAAATTCTAATGTTTTGCAATGGTACACTATGCTTGGTGGAGCTCCAGCTGATTTTAGCCCAATACAGGTATAGGCAACATGGATTATGCTTCAAAGGATAAATTTCAGGAGTTATTTACAGTCTTTAACTCTGAAAGTTATTTCTCGGAAGTGAAGTTAACAGAAATATTGTTGCATTTCAGTTCATGATCTTGTTTGCAGTCGACAACAAAGGGTTGTGGTGATTCTAAGTTGCTGGCCTACTACAGCTGTTTTTTCAAACGTTTCTGCGACTGTCTTGTGGAGTTTCTGCAAATTTTTGAGAGGGGTTAGTTCCCAAATATGGGAATTTTTGTTGCTGAAGAATCTGTTTAAGCATTTCCAAGGTTGTGAATTTGTAGTCTTAAAAACATGTTTCTGTAGTCTCCCTTTTGCTGATATTTCTTGTTTTTATAAGACTAAGCTAAGATAGAGTTATATTGATTGTCCTTTCCGAACCTCAGTCTATCATCCTCTCTAGTGCAATTACTTATGATTTGATTGTACTTGACAGGAAAAAAAACCATGCAAAAGGGATGACGGACAAGACTGTCCAGTAGCCCACATCTGACATCCCCTTGTGTTAAGATAGACCGTGAGTTCATCTATGATCCGGATGAAGAAGAATTAACTTGATATGATCTGCCTACTACAGTTAGTTGAAAGTTTAAAGCTACTGTTATTTTCAATTTTGTGTAGAGGTGTTGGTGTCCAGTTGCCAGAATTTTTGCTGCTGAGGGATCTCTTGAAGTCTTTCCAAGGTTATGATTTGCTATGCCTATGATGATCACTTCTTTTTCTTTGCAGAAAATGAGCTTTTGATATTTGTTCTTGTTATAAGACTAAATTACTTTGGCGTCACGATATTTATAATCTCACGTTCCTTCCAAACCTTGGTTACCAACCTCATATGTGCGATCATAAATGAATGATTGTTCTTTTCAGGGAAAAAACAGGGCAAAAGCGACCACGGATGAGAATGGTTCAAGATAGCATAAACTACATATCACCTTCTCAGTTCACCTTATGCTATTAGGTCTATCAAATTCTATCACGTAGACCGTATGAGTTGGTGTTATGGATCAGAGGACTTAAAGTAAGCTGTGATTTCAGAGATCTAAAATATTTCTTTCTTTAATTTATGATACTTTCACAGATTTTCATTTTAATGCTAAAATTAATAATTATTGAACTCTGTAAACATTAACCTCTTATAATAAAAGGTTTTCTGAAAATCCAGTTGGTTTCTGTTTGTTGGATGTATAGGTAGCTCTTGCAGATGAAACATGAGGGCTAATTCAGATCATGGAAGACAGACAATGAAACACTTTTTTCGGTGGAGATGAATCTACGCAATAGGTTCAGAGTCAGACTTGAGAAAGTTATTTACAATGATACAAGTCATCAGCACAAATGGAGAATGGTGGATGAAAATTTTACTGCAAGTGTCACAGTGATTCTTTTTGTTTGAAACACTTTTCTACTGCCAATTTTTCTGGAGATTGTGTTCAAATGTTGGAATTCTGATTTTTCTTTTTCCAGATAATTAACTGCTGATATTTCTTCTTGTTAAGAGTTAAGCTACAACACTTTTTTATGTTCTGGGAGTTTGGGACTTTCAGTTTCTAAATATGATCTTCCAGGTAAATTAAATTAATTAACTAATAATTATTATAAACTTCATTATTCCTATATATGATAACATTAGGTATGGAAACAAGAAGAGTTATTGATAACATTAAGATTTTAATGGGCCTTTTAGGTATTTTATATAGATCAGATTGATATTTTACATCTCATTTATTACATAAAATATCAAATATAGTCCATATAATTACCCCAAAGATCCACTCTAGCGAGGTTAATATCATTGTACCCCACTCGAGTAGGATGAAATTATTATCCTCAATCTATTCAACTTTGGTGGAGTTTATTCGATAGTTTTTCTGAAAAATATATCTTTTTAACACGATATTCTTTTAAAAAAAACCAAAAAAAAAAAAAAACATAATATTCTACATTTCAATCTGAAATAAAAAAAACTTTTTTCATTCTGAAAGTTGGTTATTTTTTAATTTAATTTTTAAAAAAGGGGTCAAATAAGTAAATTTCTCATATTTTTTTTAACAAATAAAAGAGGTTAGCTGAGTCATTTATGATATTGCCATATTGGTAGAATACCATTGAATCATTTCATTTAATATATGGTAAAAAAATCTATACAAAAATGGTTAACTATAAGCAAATAAGCATTAACTTATTAATAAGATTCCTAAATAATAAATGCTATAATAAATATGAACATATATCTTTTTCCAAAACATTTATGATTACTATGCCAACTAGTATTTAAGTAAAAAATAATACTTTGACTTCCATTAAAAATTAGAAACAAAAAAACAATGATTTTCAAAGTCGCAACACTTTTGCTAATATTACTTTGTGTTTCTTCAAGAAACAATGGTGTGGTGGCAAGTCTTCCTGGAGAAGAAGAAGAATTGCAAATTCTTAAAAAATCTGATAATGTCAAAACTATTCAGGTACATTTATTTGCTTGATTCTTAGATTAAATGCAATTTTTTTTTTTTTTTAATAATGGAAAAAAATGCTTTGGAAATGTACGTAACATAATTAATGTTAATATTGTGTTAATTTCAAGTGTTTAACCTATTTCACATAGGTTTTCCCTTTTTATTTTAACTAATTAATTAAAACTATTCTAATATTGTATTTTGTTTTATCTTTTCTATATTTACGAAGCTTGAGAGTGGTGATATTGTCGACTGTGTAGACATCTACAAACAACCTGCATTTAGTCATCCTTCGCTCAAAAATCACAAGATCCAGGTAATATTTCTCTTCTTTTTCTTTTTCTTTTTCTTTTTATTATTTATATAATTATATTATGATTTTTTTATTATAAATATCTACATAAAGAAATGTAATATAATCTGCAAATATTATGTTAAAATATATTTTAATGACATCAGTAATCTTTAACAAAAATGAAAAAAAAAATTGCCATGTGCCGTCATTATTCTATTAGGGTTTTAGTGTTTAATTTAATAGACTAAGGTTAATATTTGATTATCAAATGCCGTGAAACCTAACGAAGAGAGGAAATTTATTCAAGGAAACATGATGCCTTTGTCTTTGTGTTCTTTTGCTTGCTCCTCTCCTTTTGTCTTCAGTCCTACGCATGTTTAAGATAGACAAACAAGAGGGGATTATATTTTTAGTCTATTAGACTTGTGTTTTTGTTCCTATCTCAGAGTCTGTCCTGGGGTAGGATGATTGGGTTTTTTATGGCATCTCTGTACATTTTTTCTCTTTCTTAATAATATTACTTACAAAAAAAAAAAAAAATATTAGTTATCCTCTTAAGCATATTTAGCACGATATTTAATAAAATTTCATATAATTAATAGCCTTCTATAATTATAATTATCCAACTCTAACATGAATTAATTTTATGCTTTAATTAATTTTCCTAGGTGTTACCAAAATCATATCTTGCTCGAAGAGAGAAACAACTACAAGAATTAAGGTTAAAAGGGAAAGCTTGCCCGCATGGAACAGTTCCAATACCAAGAACAACAAAGCAAGAATCAGTGATAGCAAGAGCTTTGAATCCCACAACAATTTCAGCCGCTAACAACAATAGCCCTCCTCAGGTGATATTCTCTTAAGCATTTAATTAAATTTTTCCTTGATCGTAGCATATGTCGAAAGATTTTATAAAGCATTATAAATCACTACTATTAGTTGATTATTTGTGGTTATTAACTGATTCAGTTAGTCGATTGATCTCTTTGTGTTTTTTTCATGAGTTTCTAGATCAAATTCAACTCATATTAGGGTTTGAAAGGTCTGGTTTAATAGACTAAGGTAAATATTTGATTATCAAATGACGGGAACCCTAATGAAGAGAGGAAATTTATTCAAGGAAACATGATATTAATTATCCTCTTAAGCATAGTTAGCATGATATTTAATAAAATTTCATATAATTAATAACCTTCTATAATTACAATTATCCAGCTCTAACATGAATTAATTTTTCTAGGTGCTACCAAAATCATATCTTCCTCGAAGAAAGAAACAACTACAAGAATTAAGGTTAAAAGGGAAAGCTCGCCCGCTTGAAACAGTTCCAATACCAAGAACAACAAAGCAAGAATCAGAGATGGCAAGAGCTTTGAATCCTTCAACAGTTTCAGCCGCTAACAACAATGGCCCTCCTCATGTAATATTCTCTTAACCTTTTAATTAAATTTTTCCTTGATTGTAGCACATGTCGAAAGATTTTATAAAGCGTTATAAATCACTACTATTAGTCGATTATTTGTTTTAGTTAGTTGATTGATCTCTCTAGGTTTTATCGTGAGTTTCTAGATTCGACTCACATTAGGGTTTGATAGGTTTGGTTTATATTTGTAAGTTTGGAAAGAAAATTTCAAAGGATTTGTTTACCTTCTTTGATGTTTTTTATTTATTTTTTAGATTTAGCGATTGAGTATATCAAAACTTAATTAATTTCTTTCTGTTACTAGTATTCAATCATTCTCTTCTATGAACACCTTGTTATTTTTTTAAATACAGACCAAGATTCCTGAAGTGAGGACACTAGTAAAAAATCTTTTTGTTTTACAAAATCTCAATGTCAAAAATTCAATTGAAACAATGTCTTTTAATGAATTTTTCACATCGAAGATTTCTAGTTCGAGTTTAAACAAAAAAAAAAAAAACCTATGACGTCTTAACTTGAGAATATTTGTATTATATTTGACTTACTCTTATTATATGTCTTTTAATGGTGATGTTTTTTAGCTAGTTTTTTTAAGCTTGGAAAAATTCGAAACGTTGATAACATATCATGGAGCCAGTGGAGAGGTTACTGTGTACAATACAAGTGTAAATTTGAACAACAAGGAAATGGCTCAAGCCAATATTTGGATGCAAAGTGGTCCCAACGACGAACTTAATTATATTATCGTTGGATTGGGGGTACGTAACTTAACTATTTTATTTTTATATATACTATTTTTATATGTATGTAACTTAATTATATCCATATGAAATACATTTTCTCAAGATTTTTTGGATCTTTTATTTCCTAAAACAAAAATCTGTAATTTAAATTCTATATCAAACAAGTCCTAATTTCTTATTCAAGGATTTATATCAAATTTTTTTTAAAAAAGAAAATTTATATACATTCAACATTTGTGATAGTATCCTAATGTTCTTGAATTTTGATAAATAATTCATAGGTTGATAAAGTTAACCTAGTTACATGCACGTATTTACAATATTAATTAATAATATATATATATTTATGTAATTACAGGTGGGAGTTAGTCATAATGATATAAACCCTCGATTATTCACATTCTGGAGTGTAAGTGATATATTTTTCTTTTTATCAAGCACATATTTATTTTAGCAAAGTTAATTAATTAGTTTAATTTGGTAATAAATTAATTTTCTCATAATTAATTTACATTAAATGTTCTTCTTGATCAAATTTTAGAACAATGGAGGAGAATCTGGATGCTATAATCTACAATGTGGCTTTATTCAGATTGACAGTGAAATTGCACCTGGCCATTTATTTACTCACATTTCTAAATTTGATGGACGTACTGTTGATGTAAAAATCAAGATATTTCAGGTAATTAATTTACATTAAATATTAATTCTTTTTTTTTTAATTTTCTATTAAATTTTAACTGTAATTACCTGTTATTATTATTATTATTATTTTGAATGTTTTGTGACTTCATATCTTTTCAATAAGTTCAATAAGTTTTGGAAATTTTTTTACCTTCATTGATATTGTCCATCTTTTTAATAAAGACATTATAATATTTGTAATGTGTAATGTTGAAAGTAATTAAATTTTATCTCGGCCCCCATTTAGCAAAATATTTTGAATTTTTTATTTAAAATTTTTTAAGTTAATGAAAAAAAGAAATTCTAAATTTTTTTCTCAACTTAATTTTAGAGTTTACTAATAAGTACAATATTAGAAATAACATGAATCTCTCTGTTGTTAGTGAGTTGTTAGCGTGGCATTAGAATTTATAATATGATAGGTTAATAAAAATTTACCTAATTACCCTCTTTTTTTTTTACATTAAAAAATTAACAATAGGTGGATTTTTGTCATTATTATAACCATAGGGTGATTTTCTTATTTAATTATACCCAAGAGAGATTATTTTTATTAACTTTTTCCACTTATATATGTAGATGTATATATACTCAATCTTAGTTTAATTAAATTCATAAAATTGGTTAGACACTAAACTTAGAATGATTGTTGTTGTTGTTGTTTTTTTTTTTTTTTTTTTCCTTTTTATGCGAAAGAAAATTATCGTTAAAAGACAAAAATTTGCCTGCAATTATAAGTTGATTATTGCTAGCGAGAATTGAAGTCTAAATTCACGAATTTTAAGTTTTTATTTTAGGTTTGCATCTGAGTATTTTCGATCAATTTTTCTAATTTATTTTATTTTATTTTAGGATAAAGCAACATCAAATTGGCTGCTTTCAGTTCTTGATGAAGAAATAGTAGTGGGTTACTTTCCACCGAAATATTTTCCATATCTAAAATCTGGGGCTCAAACAGTCGCATGGGGAGGAGCAGCCTATATAGGAAATGACGGAAATAGCCCTCCCATGGGTAGCGGTTATCTCCCAGATGGCATCTATAACCATGCTGCCTATTTTCGTAAACTCACTTATTTTGACAATCAATGGGTGCTGAGAGAGCCTTCAACTGGTACTCGTTTATTTCATCATTCAGAAAAAGGTCATTGTTATGGGTTTAAAAATGGCACAGCTCAGGGACAGTTTTGGGGTTCTAATTTCTTTTTTGGAGGACCAGGAGGTCAAAAATGTGGAAAAAATTAAATAAATTGTTGTAATCCTCTGCTTCTGTTGAAGATCATATCAATAATTTCTTAATTTTATGCATATATCTCTTATGATTTAACGTCAGATAACTTTGTTAAATTCATTAGGTTTCCTATTTGATTTTTTTTTTTTTTTTTTTTTTTTTTTTTTTTTTTTTTTTTTATTCTGAGTTGATTCAACCTCGTTTAATGGGTTTGAATTCTACATCAGAGCGTATTTAGTATTTACTCAAATATCGTTAAGCAACGATCTAGCATATCTAGTGATAAAATCATATAAGTAGTGAAAAAATGCCAAATATCAATGTTCTTAAAATTTGATTTTCAGTGCAACTAAAAATAATAATAATAATCCACATCTACAAATGTAAGCCAAAAAAAAAAGTATCTTAATTTTCATTTCTTTTAAATGCATCTAAAAATCTAAGAATTTCTATACATTTATATCTAAACTTTAAAATAAATTTACCAAAAATAAAATAAATAGTGATAAAGAAAAAGAAAAAGAAATATAGAAATAACTAATGAATAGGTTAAGATTTACTGGGAAAAGATTTACCTGGAAAAAAATTGATAAAAAATTAAATACCCATAAGTAATTTACTATTATTTATTTTTTCAATAGTATAAACAAATAAAATGGTGATTTTGCGCTCACGCACAAAAATTATATTAACTTTTGTAAGAAACTTGTGTTCAAATGGAATTAATTAATTGCCTTTTATGTCATAAAAATATTCCATAAATGAATCATTCATAACATATTAGATTATTTATATTTTCTTAATTAAAGTAAAATGTCTAAGAATTAAAAATTGCAGTCATAAATAGTATATTATAAGAAAGTCCTCTTTAATATTGTATAGAGAATAATTTTGAGGAAGATGACCAGGTAATCCTTGTGCAATGATCTATAGACCATACAATCTTTTTCTATTTTCAATTATTTTATATTTTAATCAATAATTAATTTAAAACCCTTTTATTTTTGCTTTTTCTTTTCGAAAAAAATTAAGATATTGTTTGTCGGATAATACAATATAGTTAGACCCAATTGTCTCTATAGTATCACATATTTGCATTCGATATTTGTCATTTCCTAATAATGAAAAATTATAATCGAACATTGTATTGTCTTATTAAATAACATTGTCTGTTATATAGTAAAATCTCGCTTATTGAAATTGGAACAAGCTCCATTAATTTTAACCAATCCATACATATCAAAATTGTTAAAATTAAACATAATAACTTGAAGAAATGGTTTGGAAAAAATCCAATAGAAATTTTATTCAGAGAAGAGGAAGAATTTATGTAGAAATAGATGTGGAGAAATTAAAGAGCGAAAGTCTAAAACTTTATACGTGAAATTTCTTTGATGAGAATATTCATGTATGGTTGAATTTTCTAAATTCATTGCTTGGTGTCTTTAGAAAAGTAATGAAATAGATTTCAAATGTTCTTATTTTAAATGGTGTAGCTAGAAAGAGTTATGTTCGATAATAATGTAACATTCCGGTCCACTATCAAAATATTGTGATTTTTCTCTTATGAGCATGTCCCTCTTGGTTCGAATCATAGACTTCATAAAGAAAAATTACAATATCTTGATAATGGGTCGGAATGTTACAAATAAGAATAATAATAACAATAAGGCGAAACATAGTTACGGTTAATTTTTGACATTTTAAAGGATGTGTAGAGTAAATAAATTAAATTTCAAATATAGTAATATGGCGCGTGTAACACTTATCCAATATTTTCACATAATAACTATAAACATTAAAAAATTTCCAGCTGAAAAGAGATTTCATTAAATTTCCCAGTTAAAACAATGAGGCTCCGCGACTGTATCCGTTTGCTTGCATGGAACAATGCCCTTGTAAACCTCACTATGTCTTATGATCCAATCGCATTGTTTGCAAGTATCTCTACGAGAATCGTACATACTGTAGCCATGAACAATGCCATCCCATAGAAAATCGCAGGAGAATATAATTCTTCTGACAGACAAGTAATGAAACTTAAAATGGTAAAACTTATTATTCTCGAGTGTTTTTTCACCAAGATCATGTTCCCTTGAACGGCAATGAAGTTTAAGAACCTTATTTGAAGGCAAAGAATTTGTTATGTTAACTGTTATTTTAGGAGTCGAATCGGCAATGCACAAAAACAGGTATGACAGAAGAAGAGTTATTGACAAGATCAGTTTGAGGAAATGACTCATTTTTACTTTTTTGGGAGAGTAATTTTATATTTTTTTGTGATAAGAAAAAAATTGGACTTCTTATTTATAAGCTGGAGGGTTACCAAATATAGTACATTGAATTTTTTTTTTCTATTTAGATCTAAGGTTTTGAGGAAAAATAGGAAAACTAATGGGAGTTGCATATATATAACCAACTTAATAATTTTCATTTTCGAAAATGTACAGATTTTATTTAAAATACAAGTCTAGCTCTAAAATCCAGTGACTTATCAATTATACTCTTAATAAAACAACAAAAAATATTTTCCTAATATATAATGTTAGACTATGCTGTACTATACAAGATCTAATAATCTAATATTTAATAGTATGGTTTAACAATATAATGAAATCATGCTATATGATACTTAGATATGGTAGCTATTTTTGTTTTTGTTAATTTTCATTAAAGATTATTAGGTTAGGTTATGTGATTTTGTGGCTAAATATTCGTTTAAACAAAATTTTTTATTGACTTTAAAATTATTACTCATAGTCTTATACTCATTATTTTTAATTTATAAATTTTAATCAAATCTGAACCTTTAGGATCTCAAGATCCTATTATATTTGGTTCAACCTTAATTGGTTAATTGGATTTTGTTCAAAGGCCAATAACAGCCACTACTTAAAATGATCAACAAAGGTAATTTAAGTATTATTATTTCCTAATTATGGATTAATTATCATATAATCCAATTAAAGAAGCCAAAGAAGAGGGGGGGGGGGGGGGGGGGGGGTGGGGTGGTAAATATGACATTTTGCATTCTCATCAGATTTTCTTCACATTTTTCTCAAAATAACTTTAACAAAAATTCAACTAAGGGCCAACCAACCAATATTAACAATATATCAACCCAAATAAAAACAAAACAATAAACATTCAAGCAATACACCATAACTTANCTCCTAACATTTGAATCTTATTGTCCAGCTTCAATCAGCTAGATCTTCCCGAGTATTCATCCAAGGATCATCTTCAAGAACGTTTGTTGCTTGCTATACATGAAGCCAGCGAGGGTTTTGGCTTTGGTTGATAAATTATTTTCTGATAGCGTAGCTCAGCAAGCCATCAATCCAACTTGGATTCTCGATGTACATGTCAGTAAGATATCTTTCGATCTTGTCCCTATTTTGTATAATTTGGAATTGTTCCATTCTATTGTTTCCAAAGTTGGATCCGATTACTAACAAACGATATAACTTTAAATTTCCGTCCAGAGTGTTACTGATTCGGGTGGATACAACAAGTTAATCAATAACTGGAGGAAAGGCCAAATTAAAATTAGAGCATGAAAATCGGATTATAGACGGGGTTTCTGGCAAGCATCATCTCAAAGATTGATAGATAGAGTTGGCGAAGACGATGATTTTGATTTTGAAGAAAGGGAAGCTCAGGTCTTTTATTAAACAGCACTGAGCTGGAAAATGGGTTTTTTTTTTCTGTTTTGGCCAATAGATGATTCTGAGGAGGGTATATAATGTTGTTATTAATGGGTATCAATGTTCATAGTAGGTTTTCGATTTTGAGTCTTGTTCTTAGCCTTGTTTTATGAGGCATTTTATATTTTTATATGAATAAAGTAGAACAGATTTGATTATATCCATTTTGAATTATATTTTTAATATCATACATTTTCAGTTTTAGCAATTCAAACAATTTCCTAACTTATTTTCATTTTGTAACCTTCTGTATATGTTGTCATTTGTCTTTTTATTAGTAAGTGGAGTGAAATATACAAATGAGTAGAGAAAAAGATGGGACTGTGCTCTTGTGTCATATTACTTCCAAAAATTGTTTGAGGGTATATAGGGAGAATATTCTGCACTTGTGTTATTCTCTCTTCAAATAGTGGATTCCAATCATCATCTGTGGAGGCATATTGCCTGAACCATGTAATTCTAATGTAAACTTTTAAGTTCTATTTTATCATATTTCATTTTATTTTGAAGGAATTGGTTGACATGTATAAGGAAAGATGACAAAAAATACATACATTCATATATGTATTGCTTCTTTAAAGTCAGTGTAGAACAATATTTATAAGTTGATCAATTTTTTCTTCACTTATATCCCCTTTTATCTCGAGTTTTATTAAACTAATTAATCAAACACGAATCGAATTATTGATTGGATTATCATTCAATTTTCTTTTGTGAAATTTCATGGAGGGTGGGCGGTGGAAATTCTCTAAACCAAACACACTACGGACCACTATGAAGAAGCAGCAAAAGATTTTAGGTGTGTATAATTTAATTTAAGTTGAATTATTGAAATAGTGGAGCCAACGCCAAAGACTTTTAAAACCAAAGACCTATCCTTTATGAGCACTTGACTCTTGGATGTCCATTTTCCATTTTAATTATTCATAGTCAAGCGTTGAGATTTTAAGATTTTAGAAACTCTCCTCATTTCTTCTTTTAGTTTCTTATCACAAATTCAAACACCAATTTCCATCTTTTCATCTTGCGGACAGTGCCTGCTAGTAGAATCAACTGTCAAGAAATCAAGAAGACCCTCATATCACTAATTACAGGTAAGGAAAAACAACCTTCATATCACCACCACTTTTCCAATATTTAAAGGATCCTTTATGCTTATATCTTCAAGGATCCTTTAAAATGAACCAGATAGGTTGTTTAATCCTTTTAGGATTTATATCTTCACTACTGGACATGTATGTTAATTTATTTTAATTGATATTATTAATTATTTTAAATTTTTTTATTAATATAGTCTACGTTTTATT